ACTCACGAACCTTCAAAACATTTCCATAAATTTCTTTGATATTATATGTGGCTACAGAGGCGTTGTTTCTCTTCTTGTATTCAAAGAGCATTACATGCCGAATGTGTGCCTGGTAGTGTGCCATCACTATAAGGGATTAGAGTATACTAAACTTTACATATTATATAGGCTACAGTAATGTGACGTTTAGGCGGTTCGTTTAACTATTATACGTGATGTACGTTTTTTGGGGGGTGATTAATGAAAGTGTTCCAAAACAAGACATTAATTTCTTGACGACCTAGTACAAACTAATAAAGTCATCAAGCAATTACTTCAATTCAGACTATTTAGTGTTCGTTTCAATGATAAGCCGCTTAACATCTTGTGACAGGCAGGTTCTAGTATATCCATATTGTTTATTATAACATTTATTCATTCTCAAGTCAAGTATTAGGTTCCAGTTTTGTTTTTCGTCTCGGCAGGAACATGATATATGAGTTTTAACAATCATGGCATAAGTTATTCGTTGTGTAATTTTATTGTTTTCTATCAATTTTTACGTTTCATTTGCTCTCTTTTTTTCTTGCGTCATTTGAGTTCTGTATTTTATCTTCTTACTTCATTTTGTCTACAAAGCTTATTTTTATATGAGTTTTCGTGGTAGTGTAGTACTTACCAAGTGGCTCGGCGGTAATTGTGGCGGTTTATAACACTAAAATTCGGGGCTTGATCCCTGTAATTAGCACAGTGCAGAGGGTCCATAGTGCGCTTAAACAAGAAAAATACAATACTAGTGATAGTTATATAGAGCTTCTGCGGCTATTGATTACTATATATCCTCGAAGTGAAAATTCAGTTGGTGGCTAGTATGGTTTTGTTAATAATTTCTAGTCTTATTTCAGTTATTAATTACAGGTAACGTAATAACGCTTTTACTCTTGAGTATAGCTCATATAAAGTCGTGGTGGAACAGATGAATCAGATCTATATCTTAACATTGGAATTTCGTAGGTACTGTGATGCCACTTTGGGAAAAATATTTAGTAATCCTTTCTGACGCAAAATATTCATACACTCAGTATAAAACATTATCAAGAAGAATATTTGTCTGGAAAAGCAAGTCACGTGTACACAAGTTGATTCCACGACATGTTAGTTCAACCGATGCATACCTCAAGGAGTTGGAAAATGAAACAGGTATTCATGTTGCCTGATTAACATCAGTATTGGTCGAAAGTATTTGTCTGCACTGCATATGACACATGTAATGTGGTTCAGACATTATTACTTATTAGTCTTTGCTTTCACTCATGGATTTTTAGGACTAATACAGTTTCTCTCGTTGACGCTGTGGTTGCTTAACCCGATCTTGGTACTAACAGATTAGGTTGCTAGTTCACCAGTTGTTTCTTCTTCTTCTCAGTTCTCCTAGTGGAACATAGGGCTACGGCAGTTTCTATAGCAGATTGTTATCGGGGCGGAGTTGCTAGCCCCACGCCCAAGTGGGCATGTTTGGTGCGACAAGGACGCGAACCCGCGACCCTCGGATTGTGAGTCGAGTGACTTATCCACCAGTTGTTTAGTGAAGCTAATTCACATCAGTTAATAATAATAACTAACCTATTTTTAAAAAAGATAAGTAATATTATGTTATTAATACATGCCCTAATTCTGATTTAAAATGATTTAAATAAAATGTGTACAAAATAAAATAAATTATAATTCACTCGTCGGCACTGGATACAACAGATAGTTTTGTTTGTTTTTGAATTTCGCGCAAAGCTACACGAGGGCTATCTGCACTAGCCGTCCCTAATTTAGAAGTGTAAGACTAGAGAGAAGGCAGCTAGTCATCAACACCCACCGCCAACTCTTGTGCTACTCTTTTACCAACGGATAGTGGGATTTACCGTCACATTATAACGAACCCGCGACCCTCAGATTGTGATTGTGAGTCGAGCGCCCTAACCACCTGGCCATGACGGGCCATAACAGATAGAGTGGGGTTGATATATTATTAAATATTATTCTTTGCTTTCATTCATAGATTCTTAGAACTCTATATGAAGACATATCTACATATGGATCAAGTCGTCTAATGCAGCACCTATGGACTTTTGTGGATTGGACTTTTGAAATTGGCGCTGGTAAATTATTGTCTTTATAAACTAGAATTATTATGGAAAGCAGTTAAGGAAGAGATGCGTGTGTTTTTCAATTCCAAAACAAAATAACTACAAATAGAATTTATTTAACATCTAAAAAGTTATTAGATGCAATTCAAAGCCTCAAATAGGTAATTGCTGAATAGCATTTAACAAACTGTTACCTTTCTAAAAAACAAAAATCATTTACGATCTTTGATACTTTTTGTATTTGATTTTCTTTAAACAAACACATGGTAATCTTATACCCTGATAACAAAATTAAGTCATTATTCTTACCTGCATTGATGTAACTACAAAATATGTTGCTGAGCTCGTGGATTAGGTGTTGTTCATGCTTCATTAACGTCTTCTCTGATAAATTAATCAATAAGTGTTGTACTGGTTCTTTCTTCTCTTAATAAAGAAATGTGGAGTATTTTCCAGAGGATTGTTTTCTCACCCTACATTTATCATGGAGTATGTTACCTGTATTATTTCAGAGAAATCAAGAGAGAGAGAGAAGATTTTTCTAACCACTAAACTAAACGTGCCTGAACTTAATTCTAAATAGGAATGTTTATATTTTGATGTAACTTTTAAATTAAAATACAGATTCCAGTAAAGATCGATTTACGGATTTATATTACTTTTTGAAAGGGAAAAAAATGTGGATTTCTCATTAGAAATTGAAAATGCCACAATTTTTATGGGTATATCAGATGTAGTTAAAGTGAAAAAAAAAGGATGACTTGATATAATTTCATATTATCAGAGTAATAATACAGGATGACTATACATGTACCAATAACGATAATCGTTAGAACTAGCAAAAAGGCTTGTTAAGGCTTGAGTCGTGACATTAAATGAGTCTTTTTATGTAATAAAAAAGAGGTATCGTCTATATACATTACTTTTGCTCGCCGTGAACAAAGGATTAATTGGCCATTATAGTATATTTTACTGCAACCGTTAGCATTTTTCTTAGATTTTATGGCAGGTGCTCACACTGAGTTAATAGGGAGCCTCCCCTAGTTAAATAGTTATATCATAAACTTTCAGCCCATAAGCTGAGTGTCGGTATGGTAATGAGTGCAGTAACAATTTTACTTTAAGTAGTTTCCTAACTATTGAATTGTCAAACAATTCAAACACTTGGGAGTCTCAAGCCTTTTCATAAAATAATATATGACGAAAGCCATTTCCTTGTAGTTTCAAAATAGCTCTTGTAAAGCGTTCTATTGACTTCACTTCCTCCTCAGATTCCAGCTTGAGAACGTTAATAAATTAACTTAGGGTGAAATCTGTAGTAAATTGAATAAGCAAAGTTCTTGTGGCTTTTCAGCCAGATGAAGTTAACCAGGATTTTCTAGGTTATTTCTTTGTAAAATTTAAAATAACAACAACAAAAAAGTATATCAATTAATATCTAAAAGGGAACCTATTATTATATCATTTACTTGTTTCTACTTTGAAAGACATACCACGGGTATCGAAACCCGGTTTCTAGCGTCATAAGTCCGCTGACAGACCGCTGTGCCACTAGGGGGCGAAAGACATAAAGGCTGTTAGTAAAGAATACGGCAACAAAATATTGAATATAATCTCTAAACTTAATAAAGCAACGTAAAAATTGTTGTAACTGATACTGCTATAGTACCGAGCAGATACTTAGTATCTTATGTTGATGTTTTTGTTTTTCATTTAAATATATATTTCAAGTGGTGTTTTTTTTTACATTTTTGTTTGTTTGTTTTATCGCAACACCACATAATGGGCTATCTGTGGACTTTAGTATTGTAAGTCCGTAAACTTACTTCTGACCTAGCGTGGGACCGTTCGAAAAATTTACCGAATATTACTTTTGCCTTTGATACTTTTGGCCGATTAGTAAACATTCTTGTTCAATTCATAATTAATTTAAGTAGTAAATTATAATCCCACCAGATTGTTACTTCTCGTTACAAAAACGTAGCTAAAATACAATTTATTTACTGCAACACATGTTCATTGTTCAACTGAATCAGAATTATTTTCTTTCATGCTAACTTAAACAAAAAATAAAACATCTATGAGGGCGGAATTTCTCATATGTGGATGAAACATATATGACTTTAAATATAGATCAATATGACTTTTGTATATTTATATACTCGAGTATGCATAATTTATTTAAATTTATAATAATACTTAAAACATTAAAGATTTGTTTGTTTGTTTTGAAGTTAATCCCAAAGCTACACAATGGGCTATCTGTGCTCTGCCCACCACGGGTATCGAAACCCGGTTTCTAGCGTTGTAAGTCCGCAGACATACCGCTGTGCCACTGGGGAGCTTTCTTACACGACACTGAATTTGAATAACCTGCAGTTTTATTTATTCTATAGATTTTATTCTATTGTAACGTGTTTGCCGTTTGATTTTCATATTACACTTGTTTCACGAGCTAAATTATAAGTCATTAGTAAGAGGTTTTTAATCTTAATAACGAATCTGCATAGAAATATGTTACTTATCCATTACGGTGATTTTGTAAAATATAGGTTCAAAATATTACAGAAACAAAATTATAAACAATAATATATCTGATATGAAAAACTATTTTCAAACTTTTTTGATATTTTAGTCAGATATATCTTTGTTAGAAAAAACTATATTGTCTTAACGTGTTTAAATACTAATTAGTGACGTAATATATATGGTATTAATCACGTGTTTCTTTTATCATTGATAGGTGGCCGATTCAAGAGGGCGCTGTTGTTATTTATGAAACAAATTCAAAACAGAAACACCTCGCAGTACAACATAATTAGAATTATTTTTTCTGTACATAGTTCACAGGATGAATTTGATGATAGTCTTTAAAACTTCTTTAAGATTGTGACAGAGAATCAAACAAATAAATAACTTATCTATAATGGTCATTACTTTTAAATTTGCCATACAGTTGTTTCTGGTTATTTTCTTCTTTTAAAAGTTATAAATAAAACTTCTACATTTACCATATTTGTATGAGCTTTTATAGAAAAAATCTTTGCTTTTCCTCTATTATTTGACTTCAATGTACTTTTTTAGTAATTCTTTATTTGAATAGCTGCTAAAATTAATATTTTGTAGCTTTTCAAACATTTTATGGAACAACAACTCTTACGGTGAAAGTACATGAAATAAAGGGGTTGTCTTTACCTTCTAAAATTGTCTGAGTTATTGAATTTCTGTATTTGTGAATAACTATAATGATGAAAACTTTCTAGCTCAGTAATCTAACTGTCGTAGTTATTGAAACAGAACCTTACAAAACTATACTTACAATGTCGGTTCATAGAACTGTCTATTCATTTCTTTTGAATGTCTCATATAACGAAAAGGCTTTGTTTGAATATGATTGTAGAGCTAGCTTTATATAAGTAGAATGAGAATAAAAGCAATATTTGCGATGCATCTGAGTGATGAAGTTTCAAGTTGAACTAATATTTCATCCTTTTCCCCTGACAAGCTATTTTGTACCTTCAGTCATTGTGATGAAAATGTGCATGCCAATACTGCTTCATTATATAAGTAATTACTATTCAGGGCGAGAATCGAAAAGTAAATTGAAATTTGAAATTTCTACAACAATCATAGAAAGTAGCTTTTAAAGTCTAGACATTTTGGATGTTGTCGGTATTAAACCACTGTAAGTGCTTACTACCTGGCTAAATATTGCCCTTATAAATCACCAAGTGTTTATTACTTTGCTGTATATTGTTTGTATTAAATCACTGTAATTGTTTACTTCCCAGCTCAATATTGTCTGTATAAGTCACTAAATGTTTACTACTGGCTGGATCTTGTCTTGATTAAATCACGATATCTTTGGTACTGCCTGGTTGGATATTGTCTGTATTAAATCATTGTAAGTGGTTACTACCTTTCTGGGTATTGTCTGTGTTAAATCATTGTAAGTGTTTACTTCCTGGCTGCATATTGTCTTTATTAAATCACCGCAAGTGTTCATTTAAAATTTGACAGAATTTCATGGTGTTAGTAGGTATTTCAGAAGCTTCTTGTCCTCTTCCAACCACTGGTGATGTGGCTGGGAGGTATAATTTTGGGTGTGTAGTGGAGGGACAATTTTAACATATAGTACTTGAATTATATCAACCATAACTGTTCAGCAATTAATTATTTTCATTTATATTCCCTAATTGCAGCTTTTTCGTTAATGTGACAACGATAGGCCTTTTTCAAAGTATCTTGTAGAGACAGAAGTTTTAATATTGGCATAAAAACTGTGATTTATAATGAGATTTCTACTTATGAAGTAGGTTGTTGTAGGGTTATGGAACTATTTGTTTAAACTTTCGCATTATGAACTTTTATAAACTTATGTACAGCAGACAGGATGATGAGATAGTATCACAGTCCTCTGTTAAAACAGCCTTTGTAACGTATATTCAGTGAAGCCTAAAAGCAGAGCCTTTTTGGTAGCATGCGTTAGAAATAATCCTCTGAAATTGAAGCACTGCTTCATCAACCCCAAACGCTTCATTGGTATGACGTATAGTAAGTTTAAGCAAAGATGTTTGTGAAAGCAATAATTTGAATCTTTACCAAAGCAATATGTGTATATGGAATTCAGTTTCTATATATCCTCCTCGACACAAGATTTTCTTTGTACAAAATCAATGTTGTTGTTTTTTTCTATACTTCTGACAGACACATAACGATGCTTTTATAGATCAGTAGAAAATTAAGATTGACAACCATTTTTGTGTACTCAGAATTACCTAATTGTGATCGTATTGGTTCACAAGTGGGCTTAAAACGGTCTTTATACAAAGTAACTTAGATATTAACTGGAAATAGTAATTATACTTTATAGTTTGTGTTTAATAAGGGGAAGAAAACTGATTAGTTATAAGTTGAACGTTTCAATTCGGAAATTTTTACTGTTATGGAGTTTGGGGAAAATATATGTAAAATGTAAAGAAACACTATTTCTGAAAGAAATACAAATCAACATTTCTTTTTTCTTGGAAAGCATAAAATATAATGGCAGTAAGAAAAAGTTACGCTATAAAATAATATGTTTTAAACACGTTTATATTTAGTTAGAACCCACAATAAGTAGTAAGTTATTATTGCTTGAACACTAGACAATATATATAAGTAGTAATTTAAGTATGCATCAAAATAGACAATAATACACGGAAAGTTTTGTTAAAATAACATCTTCTAAATTCGATCACAAGGAAATATTGATTTCTCGAAGCTCGTTCTCTTGGTTGTGGTTTAGTTGTATTTTATTCCACTAGATCAATGTCCTGTAATAAATACTTTAAAGTCAAATATTAAGAAAAACACGAGTAGTCTCTCATTGTTTCTTTTATTTAATTTTCAGTTCAGTAATTTATTTTTTTATATATTATTTATTATAATATCAAAAGGAATAATTATTTTAATATTTAATGTTTACATGATATTCTTTGTATCGGAAACAAATCTAAGCAACAAACATTTTAATAGAGATATTTACCCTATTAATATTCGCTTTGATACACTGTCCGACCATATGTTTTTTTGGTAATTTCATGGACTCTCCTCAAATGTTATTTGTCTGTTAACAAAAATTCTAAGTAAAGATATATTAAATGTAAATTTTAACAGATAATACCTTATCGCTCTTCTAATTCTTATATGTTAACATTTTTTTTTTGTATAAAAGTAAAGCAATTAATCAGAAATTATTTGAATGATTTTACGTTTGTAATGCTGAAAGAAACTACAAGTATATATATATATATATATATTGTTATCACCTTGGAATATCATCAGCTCCTATCAGCGCGAAAGATATACTGATAATTCTATTTTATTTGATCTTTATAACAGATAATATCCTAAAACAGGCATTAATGTAAATAAAATAAAAACACTTTAAAAAGAAAAGTTATGCCTCTTTTCTTTAGTGAAACTTTGAAGAAAACAATTTAGCAAAGTGTTGAAATAAACATATCAGTCATTGAGTCATTGATTAACAAAGAACTTTCACTTATATTAAACAACGACAAAAGCAGGACTCAGTGTTATCATGAAAAAATATGCACATGGGTGGCCCTGACTGAATAAAAAAAAACTTCTCGCTTTCACTAGAAATTGGTAGGATGTAGAGTTTAAAAGGTTGGTCGCACCGATAGACGTACAAGGATGTTTTCTTGCTCTGGCGCCTTGAACGATTCATTGCAGCGTGCCGTCTTGAGTTTGTTTTTGTTTTTAATTCGTTTTATCTCTTTCTCTTATCTTTCGCTTTTTTTACAGGTTAAGGAAAGTGATATTAAAATATCAACTATCAGGAAAAAAGTATAAACTTTGTTACAACATGATGATGTTATTATTATTCTATTTGTAAAACTCTGGACGTTCAACCGACACCAAATTTCAAGAAGTTATACAGTGTGCGATGCACATCTACATTTACATATTTTACTTATTTTCAAAATTTTTTTAACTCCTGTTACGTATTATAATTTCGAATGGTCTGAAACAAAACTAAATGATAATTTAAATTTAGTAGTTAAATAAATGCCGATATTTATCCAGTTTATGATATTTGCCAACAAGACATGGCTTTTTTTTTTAACACAAATATGTTTGAATATACAAACAACAATACAGTTTACAATAGCAGTTATTACAAACAGTGATATATATATACAAAAGTGTTACAAACTTACAAGCAATATAAAGTCTTCTTTCTAGTCTGGAACTTCCTTAATATCTTTTCGAGGGTTCGCGATGAGCGACTTAATTTCGAGTTGACGGAGGTACAATTCACTTAATAGGGAGCTAGCCCTTTAGTTCTCGCTGATCACACGCCGATTACACGTAGAGTTTCAACCGGTGACGTTAGGTAATGCATTCGTAAAAGTATTAATGTCCGATGTGAATCCACTGAAGTTAAATGGTT